CTAATTTATTTATTTATTTATCTATTTATTTATCTATAGAGATGGGATCTCACTGTGTTGCCCAGGCTGGTCTTGAACTCCTGGGCTCAAGCGATCACTCCAGGCCTCAGCCTCCCAAAGTTCTGGGATTACAGGTACGAGTCACCATGCCCAGCCATGAATATCCTCAATGAGATCGGGAAAACACCTCAGCAGCAGCAAGGATACACAGAACACTTGAACAGATGAGTTGCAAATGAGAGGACACGGGTGACCACTCAACCGGGAAAACTGTTCAGCCTCACAAAGTCATCAAATAAATGCAGAATTAAACTCAAGACGTTTTTCTCCCATCAGAGAGTAGCGATGAATGGCATCATCATACCCTGTTAGCAGAAAGAATGTAAATGGGCGTTCTGACTGGAGCTGCCCTAGGCTGCCCCCTGTCATTTCTGGGTTCCTGTCTCGGCACAGTCATGACGAGAAACAGTGCCTGCATCCGAAGAAAGTGTTGTTAGCCCTTGTTACAGTCTTTCAAGAAAATATCAAAGGGGATTACATTTGTGGCACATCCCAAAACTTCTTAATATTGTCTCTCTCTCTGCTCCCCTGTCTGGATCTCCAGTCCCCATTTCCACTGCCAGCAGAGTAGGAAGCTGCCACTCATCTCTTCTCCCAACTCCTCTGGGGCCTCAGCCACTTCTGGGGACTCCGGCTGGGACTCCGGTGCCTTCTGGGGCCTCAGTGATTTCGAGCATCTGGCTCAGTCTTTGTTGTGCAGATTCAGCCTTGGACTTCTTCTGCTGTCCAGCCCCCACTGCCCGTTCCTCAAGAAAAAGGGCCCTAGGTCTGAATCCTTCCCTCGGAAGCGGGATGTGTGGCTGGACCTGAGGTCAGAAGCGCGGCTGAGGCTGCAGATGTGTGCACGGAGTAAATGTGCTGAAATTCTTCACTGCACGTGTTCTCTTTATGTTCTGTTTTTCACACAATTTCAGGCTGAAGTTTTGTGTAGTCTTTTGTAGAGGATTTTGCTGTCTGGTAAATCAAATTACCCTGAAGTTTACAGCTAAGCCAGACTGTTATGGAAGAAAAAGCCAGGTGTCAAGGTGGTGGGGTGGGGGGTGCATGGAGAAGGAGCTTTTGGGAAAGCTGCCCTACAAGTCTTTCTAGACACAACCATTCCTTCCCTCCTGATCACCCAGTCCACTGGAGCCGCTGTGACCTGTGACTATAACAGACCTGTTCTGTATGGCTGCCCTGCCCCTCCACCCATCTCCAGTCTGTAGACAGACAGGCACATGGGTAGATAGACCGACCCAGATGGATCGATAGACACCCCGGGGAGATGGATGAGCTGAGACAGATAGATAGATGATAGATGATTGATAGATAGATAGATAGAGACAGATACAGATAGATGATAGATAGGGAACAAATAGATGATAGATAGAGACAGATAGATGATAGATGGACAGAGACAGATAGATAGATGATAGATGATAGATAGATAGATAGAGACAGAGAGAGATAGATGATAGAGACAGATGATAGATGATAGATAGAGGCAAATAGATGATAGATAGAGACAGATAGATGATAGATGATAGATAGATAGAGACCAATTGATAGATGATAGATAGAGCAAGGACAGATAGATAGATAGATGATAGAGACAAGATAGATGATAGATAAGAGACAGATAGATAGATACAGATAGATGATAGATAGTGGATAGATAGCTGTAGACAGATAGATGATAGGAACAGATAGATGATAGATGATTGATAGATAATGAATAAGACAGATAGATGATAGATAGAGACAGATAGATGATAGATAGAGACAGATAGATGATAGATGATAGATAGATAGAGACAGATAGAACAGATATAGACATTAGATATAGACAGATAGATAGATGATAGATGATAGATAGATACAGATAGATGATAGATGATGGATAGATAGCTATAGACAGATAGATGATAGATAGAGACAGATAGATGATAGATGATAGATAGAGACAGATAGATGATGAATAGATGAGACAACAGATGATAGATAGATGGTAGAGACAGATGATAGATAAAGACAGATGGATAGATGATAGACAGATAGATGATAGATAGAGATAGATAGATGATAGATGATGGATAGATAGAGACAGATAGATGATAGATAGAGACAGATAGATGATAGATAGAGACAGATAGATGATAGATGATAGATAGATGATAGATAGAGACAGATAGATGATAGATAGATGATAGATAGAGACAGATAGATGATAGATAGATGATAGAGACAGATAGATGACAGATGATGGATAAAAGAGACAAGACAGATGATAGATGATGGATAGATAGAGACAGATAGATGATAGATGATGGATAGATAGATAGAGACAGATAGATGATAGATGATAGAGACAGATGGATAGATGATAGATAGAGACAGATAGATGATGGTGATAGATAGAGGCAGATAGATGATAGATAGATAGAGACAGATAGATGATGGATAGATAGAGACAGATAGATAGATGATAGATGATGGATAGATAGATAGATAGACAGAACAATGATGCTATAACTATCCTCTCCCCGTGCGTTCAGAGGTAGCAGGTCACATTAAGCCATGCTGGGCGTGGGTGTTTAATTGATGCTCTGTGAATGAATGACATACATGAGCTGTATCTATATCAGTCAGTCTCAACACGGCAACCAGAGGTTTCTTCAAAAATACACGTCAGCTCAGACCCCTCTCCCAGCGCCCGTCCCTCAGCAGGTCCTCATCCAGCTCCAGTCAGGAAAGGCCACCGTCACCATGGCTTGGAGCCGAATTTCTAAGAGCCCCCAAGGATGTCGCGCTCGCCCTGGAAGCTTGAGTGTGGTGAGAGGCCGCCCTGGGCGCATTGGTCCCTGGACAGTTGGCCTTAAGCTAGGGAGGTTATCCTGGGTTCTGGGAAGCCCTGTGAGGGCAGAGAGCGTCCTCTGGCTGCAGGTGGAAGGGCGGCAGAGAGGGACTCGGCAAGAGGAGTGCTCAGGGGGCCCTTGCTGGCTTTTGAAGGGGGTGCAGCCAGCCTGGAGCTGACGGCCACAGGGGAAGTGGGGCCTCTGTCCTTCAGCCACAGGGAGGTCCTCCCAGCCCCGCAGACCTGAAGCACGTTCTTCCCTCCAGCCCCAGACAAGAGCACCATCCACCGGCACCTGGACTTTGTACTGTGACAGCAGAGGACCCTGCTGGCCAGCCCTCTCCAACTGTGAATAAATGGGTGTTGTTCAAGCTGCCGCGGTGTCGGGGCTGAAAATGAGATACTGTGGTCTGCAAGCCCCGACAGCCTCCCACCCTCCTCCTGGTCCCTCACACAGCCTTGTTCTTCCCGTCAGAGCCACAGGTCTCGTACTCCCTCTGCCAGAGGCCTTCCCCCAGCACAGAGGAGCCGGTGGAGCAGACGGCTGCCGGCTGGGCGTGTTCCAAGCCTCGGCGGATGCTTCAGAATAGAAGCGCCCACGCTGCTTTGCACAGTGACCGCGTGGCTCCCAAACATGCCTGTTTTCTGGGAGTCCTGGGCCTTCCTGGAAGTGGTGGGAGAGGCACGACCTGGCGAGCTGCCCACGGTGTGTGCAGGAGGTGAGCTGATCACTGGGTCACAGGCGGCTGAGGGTGGCAGCCACTGAGTGGGACAGGAATAAGTGACCAGCAACTGCAGTAGTCAGGAACGTTTGGCCAGGGCCTGCCTTTGGCTGAGGAAGGAGGCGGATGCCGAGTGTCCGGCAGTTTGGGAGCAGGAACGTCCTTCTCCTCCTCCCTCCCACCCCTTCCCTCCTGGGCCATGCAGTAGCCTGTAGACAGCCCAGGAAATGCACACGAGGAGCTCAGGATGTCCAGGAGGACCTCGAGGTGCCATGGAGAGGATGCTTTGCGCCTGAGTCTGCATTCGGCCAGGGTGCGGCCCTGCCTGGAAGGAAGGCTGGACCCTGACCAGTGGTGGCTTCAGGGCCTGCTGAGGGTCACTTCCAGGCTGGTTAGACCGGCAGCCTCCCCCAGCGGTGCCATCGAGCCGTCTCTGGGCTGGCACAAGCGGGAAGGTGCTGAGGCGCGTCTGTCTGGCTCTAAACACTGGCTTCCACCTGCTGGCCTCTTCGTCCCCCCATGACCGCCTGGAGCTCGTTCTGTGAAGCTGGTTGTGTGTGAATTAGTGGAACTCTTGCACGTTCCTTGTGTAATTTTGTCCTTGGCGTTGCGTTCGCACAAGTGCGCCAGCTGCAGACCCTCAGGACGCCCCAGGAAATGCTGGCAGCTAGTGAGTGGGCATCGTCAGGCAGCCGCGGGCTGTGCGAGATGATTTTACCAGCGGTAGCCTCGTGTCCATGCTCTGAGCACGTCGGAGGTGAGAGGACTCAGCCATGATGCCCGGAAGATGAGGTGCATTCAAAGTATTTTGACCTGGGGTATTTTTATTATTATTATACTTTAAGTTCTGGGAATGCGTGTGCACAGCGTGCAGGTTTTGTTACAAGTATACAGTGCCGTGTTGGTGCTGCACCCATTAACTCGCCATTTTTACATTAGGTATATCCCCAATGCTATCCCTTCCCCGGCCCCCACCCCACGACAGGCCCCGGTGTGTGATGTTCCCCACCCTGTGTCCAAGTGTTCTCATTGCTCCGTTCCCACCTGTGAGTGAGAACACGTGGTGTTTGGTTTTCTGTCATACAATAGTTTGCTCAGAATGACGGTTTCCAGCTGCATCCACGTCCACCGAGGTATTTTAAACTTACAGTGGGTTTGCCGGTGTGAGCATCTGTGCTACGATTGTTTATTTTGTTCCTAGAACTTGCACAGAACTCCCGCACCTCTGCAGTGCTGGTGTTGGAAAGCTGACCGGTCCCTGAGGGACGCGGTGAGCTGCAGTGCCTGCCAAGGGCCTGGTGGCCTTTGGAATCCACCAAGTGCTCCCCCTGCTCAGACCCTGCCTGTGCACACGAGGGGGCTGTTGTGGAAGGCCACACACGAAGTACTAGCTAATATTTTACAAGCTTGCTCACGTGCACCATCTCATCCTATCCTTGCGTCGATCCTACATGGGGAGACCCCGCTGGACGGACGGGGAAAATGAGCTGGAGAGAAGCTCACACGGACGGCGGCATGGGAGGCTCCCGAACGTGGGTGCTGCGCCTCCCGAACGCCCTGGCTGGTGTGCAATGCTCTCACATTCCTCTCCCTGCCACGACGGACCCCACCTGGAAGGCGAGCCGCCCGACGGACCCCGTGGAAGGTCCTCAGCCCCTCCCAGTGGAGCCCCCTCCTCTCCACACGCCCTGCCTGGCATGTGTGGCTCTGAAGTGCTCATTTCTCCTCAGGACCGGGCACTGCATGTGCGTCTCTTCCGGGGGCCGTTGGGTCCACAGAGGCAGCGGATCTCCTTGAGGCTGAACTCATCCTCAACTCCCCACCACCCAGACACGGGGCCTGACATGCAGGAGGTGCTGGTAAAATCTGCTGAATGGACCCACACACTGATCAATGCATCGGATATTTCCTTAACGGCCACGCTCACTTTCGGGGGCAGAAGGGACGTTCCGGCTGTGGCTGTCTGCAGGACTGCCCTCCAGCACAGCTCGAAGCCCTCAGACCCCTGCAGGGCAGGAGAAAGGGAGAGTTTCCATGGAGGGGGGCCTCGAGGGATGGGGAGGGTTCAGGTTCCTCCCAGACAGTATGGAGGGAAGAGGACCCCCAGCTTGTCCAGCTGATCTCTCTTATGAGGTGAGCTGATCACGGAGTGGGGAGAAAGCTGCAAGTTCTCTCTTCCCATGGCCAGGTGAGTGTCCAGCAAATAACTCGGCACCGGACAGAGACCGCCAGGAACAGCCCTGAAGGGCTCCGGAAAACCCACCTGCCAGCCTGAAAGGGGACACCTGAGTCCTGTGTCAGCAACTGGGCAGAACCCCAGGCCGCCGGGACCCTTTCAGCCCCAGGGCTGCTTCTGAGACACACACGCAGCTAATGCGTGGGACGGCTGGCCTCGTCACACAGCGCAAAGAAAGCCCTGCCTTCAGGCTCTCCCAACCTCTGCACCTGCCCCCTGTGTGCACTCAGGCCCACTCCCTGCAATCCCCGGGGAGCAGCCGCTCCCACCAAAGGGCCTCAGCCCTGCCCTCACTGCCTCTCCAAGCACTGGTGACAAACGGGAGCTTCACAAACAATTGCCTACACGCTGAGAACAACGGCACCAAGCCTCCACACTCAGAAGCTGCAGTGGCACATTTTCCTGAAATCAGCAACCCGATGCCCTTTTTTGTCCAATTCAGCAGATCCCAAAGCACCTGGAGACGTTGCCTTTGAACTCCTCCACCCGGGAGGCCCAGGCCTCCATCCTGAACCCTGCCTACGTCTCCTCAGTATGAAATCGCACAGTGCCTTGCTGAGCTCTGACGAAGGACGGCTTCAAAACCACAAGAAGCAGGCTCATGGCTATCTCCCCACCCAGCCAGGGTCGTGTGCAGAAAAGCAGAAGAGTCCCACGCACACGGTCTCGGTGGAGGGGTCACCGCCGCCGAGGATGCCCTTCTAGTCCTCTACCCCAGGAGGGAGGGACGCTGTCGTCCAGTTGGCACCCCAAGGACCACCCAGGTGAGGAGGCAGAGCACAGCGGACGGGCTGTCCAGGCATCTCCCAGCTCATCGTGCAGCAGATCGGGGCACATCCAGTGTGAGTGCACACGAGACGCGAGCTTTCCGTCCCTCCACACTGCCTGTGCAGATCGCTGCAGGAGGTTAACGCTGCGGTAACGAACAACGGCCTCCCAGACCTCTCTAATGCACAGCCTGCCCCGGCAGCCCTGATGCCAGCCCCGGCCGGCACACAGACTGCCCTCAAGTGCACCCAAGGGCACCTACCCACGCTGGTGATCCTCTGGGAGCTGAGGTCGTGCAGCAGGGCCTCGATGGCTGGGTTGTGTCTGGAGTACAGCTCGTATCGGTTGATGCCAATGTGGAACTTGAGCCAGTTGGGATAGGAGTCCACGGCTGCCTCCCCGGTGGAGAGGAATTCTGCACCTTCAGCACCCACATGCGGCCTGCAGGGAGCAGCGGGGATGAACATCAGCACGGAAGGAACAGGCCGGTGAGCCGGATGACGGGGGAGAGGCCACCGACGCCAGTGTTTTTAACTCTGGGTTCAAGTCAGTGCAGATGTTATGGAAGGCGCCTCTGCTTAAAGAGGGTCCTGCAATGTCTGCACTTTCTTCTGCGGCTGCTCTGCTGCCAGCTAATAACACGGTGAAAGGCCTGTAATTCTTATTCATCCTCTGGAGATGCCACAGACTGTATAACTACAGCAAGACTAATCCCAGGACGTCAGCACTGCCCTGCCGTCCCCACCACGTCTGCCCCGGGGTCACCGAAATGGCCCCACCACGATGTCAGCTGAGGGGACCAGGGGCTGCTGGCTCTCCCTCAGAGTAGAGGGGAGAACCTACCATTGCCCGCAGACTGCATGAAAATCACAGACACGCCCAGTCTGTCAGGAACCTTCCCCGGCTCTCTGCTTTTGTTCCAACAACCAGGGGCAGAATGATGCAAGAGGCTAAATTTGATTTTAATGAGAGCAGCTTGGGTGGGGAGAGAGGAAAGAGGCAGCACTCTCTCCAGCCCAGGCTCCCAGGGAGGACCCGCCGCCCACGCAGCCTGTCCTCACATCTCTGGGGTCAAGGGACGGTTCTGGAGGGAGGACAGACCCTCCGTCTGCCTGCTGGGCTGGAGGGAAATGTGGAACTTGTCCTAGCTCGAATTCACCTAAAGCTGAGGAGGTTTCTGCCCAAGCTCTGTCCTGCCGTGGACGTGGGAAGGGGGCTAGGATCCACTTCCTGGCCACTCACTGCTCTGGGTGGCCGTCTCTCCCTGCCGAGAGCCACAGCCCAGGCCGCTGCTCTGGTTCTCAAATTTCCGAGCATTTCCTTGAACCTGACCAGCAGGCAAGGCTCAGAGGCTTCCAAACAGCCAGTGTGTTCAGACAGAAGGCACTGGGCCTGGTCACACTTCAGGGGAGAAGGGACTTGCGGCGAGGTCTTTTGGAAGGCCGGTCTCGCCTCTGCCGCTGCGGTAACCTTCTGCAGGGAGGGCAGGGAGTTACTTCTCCGGCCTCACCGTGGTTAATGTTCCACTGCCTCGGGTTGTAGCATCTGCTTGTTTTGATCTGTGTGGCCGAGGGAAGGGCTGGGGGGTGGGGAAAGGGCTTAGCCAGGACAGTTTAAAGAGATGTTCCCTGCGTGGCTTCTCGCCCTTTATGGAGCCATCGTCTCTTTGCAGCCAGCACATCCGCCGCCCGTGCTGGGTGGGCCCCTTTGTTGCACCTCATGGCTGCCAGCAAGATCCTCTGATAATTCTGCTCCAGCCACTGGGTTTAAAAGACTCAGACCTTCTCCCAGGTGCCCATCCAGAGCACCCTCACCAAGTGTCTGAAAGCCCAGCGGCAGCCTGGCCCCTTCCCGGGGAAATCCACTCTCCTTCTCTCACCAACCCATTCATTCACTGCCTGACCCCATTTCCCAAGCTGATGGCCAGGACTCGCTTCTAAAGGGCGCAGGGTCTGGCTTCCTCACCAGCAGCCACAGGGGCACAGCTCCCAGCCCCCGGCAGCCCCTCCCAAGGAGGAGGTTACTCTGGAGACAAAGGTAGGGCCCCGAGCTGGGCGGCCGCCTCCTCCCACACCACACTCCCTGCCCGGCCTCTTCCCTGGGGGGGCCTCTGGGGCCCCTGAACCTCTCTCCACCGTGCCTTGGGCTCACGGCTCCCGCGGGGGTGGGCACCTGCCAGCCCGCACTCACCAGTCCGGGCTTTCCACCGCTCTGGGGCTGAGCCTGCTGTCGCTGTTCACATTGAACAGGACGTCGTCCTCCGTGAGCGGCGGCACCGCCACCCGGTAAAGCGGGTGCTCGAACAGCCTGGCCAGGAGCGAGGCGTCTCCGCCGGGGCCGGGCGGCGGCTCGGACTGACGCGGGCCGGGGTCTCGCAGCAGCGGCCGGTGCGCGGGGTCGTGGGGTCTCCGGGCGCCCGGGTCCCGCCCCCGCAAGGCGCGCTCGGCCGGCTCCGCCGCGGGCGGCAGTTTCTCCAGCGAGTGGGACGAGAGGTTGGAGGAGGGGTCGGAGCTGAAGTCCTGCAGGATGCGCAGCGTGTGCTTGTTGGGCCAGCCCGCGTCGGCGGCGGCGGAGGAGGCGGCCGGGGGCTCCCCGGGGCGGCCCCGAACCTGGGCCCAGCCGGGCGCGGCCACCTCGGCGGCGGGCTGCGCGCACGAACAGCCGGGCTCCCCCGAGGGCCGCGCGCCGCGCCGCTCCAGCCTGGGCAGCAGGTCCAGGGCGATGTGCAGCGCGCAGGCCACCAGGAAGACCATGAGGATGAGCACGCGGAACCGGCGAACCAGGATCATCTTCATGGCCGCGCGGCCGGCCCGGGCCTGGAGCGCGTTCCCCTCGCGCCCCTCTAGCTGCGGCTGGGCACGAGCGCGGCGCCGCCTCGCGGGTCAAGGTCCATGGGCGCCGGGCGGCTACCAGCTCCGGGGCTGTGCCCGGGCCCGGACCGCGTGCAGGGCGCCCGCCGCCAAAGCGCTGGGTCCCCGCGCCATCTCGGGGCCGTCCCCCCTCGGCCTCTCCGGAGCGGCCGCGCCCTCAGCCGGGGAGCGCAGGGGTCCTGGTCCGCGGGGCCGGGCGCGCGGGGGGCGGCGGGGGCCGCAGCAGGGGGAGGCTCGGCGCTCGCAGCGGCCGGCGCGGGGCTCATCGGGCGCGCGGGTCCATCCCGGCCGGGGCGCGACGGGCCCGGGCGGTGGCGGCGGCCGCAGGCGACCCGATCCTCAGCGCGGTCCGCTCCAGGCGCCGGGCGGGTGGGCGGGGAAGGGGCTGCTCCTCCGGGCCGGGCTCTGCCCTCACGCCGCGCCCGGGAGACCGGGGCCGGGAGGGCGAAGGGCGGAAGGGTGGGCGCGGAGCGGCCAGCGGGGTCCCGGGCAGGTGCAGCGGCCGCCCCGAGCGCAGCTCCCGCCTGGCCGAGCCTCTCGGCGCCCCGCGCCCCGGGCGGGCAGATATCGAGCGCCGCGGAGCCGCCCCCCGCGTCAGCGCCCGCAGATTGGCGGAGCCGCCGCCCCGGAGTCACGGCTGGGCCCGGGCCGGCTGCGCTGCGCTCTCCCTCCTCCTCCCCTCGGCCGCGCCCCGCGACGCCTCTGCAGCTCCGGGCGCGCTGAGGGAGGCGCCTGCGGCCCGCGGTTTGCAGAGGGAAGCGGCGGAGGCCGGGGGGGCCGCGCTCGGTTCCGGCCGGGCGAGCAGCTGCGGCCCAGTGGGGGGCTCCGGCCTGGCCGCTTCCCGGGACCCCCCCGCCCAGGGCCGCCGCCGCCGCCAGCTGCAGCCTCTCGGCTCCTCCCCGGAGGGGCCCGGGCCAAGTCCCTCCCCGGAGCCGCGGGGCGTCTGCGCCGCCGGATGAGCTCCCCGCCGGGCGGCGACCCCGTGCCCCACGCCCGTCTCGGCAGGAGGAGGCGGAGACGGCCCCGCGGGAGACCCGGGCAGCGACTGGGCCCGGACCCAGGGGACGCCAGGGCCCTGGAGCTCCCGGCACCGGCCCAGCCCGGGGGACGCGCCCGCCTTAACCCTCCCGACGCCGGCCCGCTGGGGGCGCAGAGCGGGGCTGGTGTGTCGGGGGCGCTTCCTGCTTGGGGCCCACGGGGTGTGTGAGTGCAGGCGTGTGCGTGTGCATGAGTGTGTGTGTTTGTGTGTGTGTTTGTGTGCGTGCATGTGTGTTTGTGTGTGTGTGCGTGTGTGTGTTTGTGTGTGTGTTTGTGTGCGTGTGTGTGTGTGTGCACATGCATGTGTGTGCACGCGAGTGCATCTCATCTGTCACCCACACCCAGGGCAGCGGTGCTTGTACAACGTGGCTTCTGCAAGTGGCAGCTTCTGGTCCCCCAGCCCCCAGTAGGGAATATGAGTGAATGTGGATGTCAGCCTAAGATCCTAGTCAGGGTGGTAAGTGTGTGGGAGGAGGCCACACCCCCTGTCCCCCAAACCAGCTGCTTCCCCAGTGCCCAGATTGCCTGGGCCAGCAGCCTCTGCAGCAAGCCCAGGCCGGTGGGCTGGGAGCAGGGCCTGGGCCCCCCTTCTTTCTTTCACTCGCTGGCTGTTACCTGGGCCCTCCCTGCCCTCTCTGAGCCTCAGTTTCCTTTATGTGAATTCAGGACATTGAGCTCGTTGTTCCTGAGGACTCACTCATCTCTGAGCCTGGCCCAATGCCTGGCATTCGGTGGGCACCCACTAGATACTTATAAGGGGAGAAGTGGGGCTGGTCAGTGGAATCCGTGTCTCTTGGGCCATCTGAAGTGAGTGAAGGGCTGGGTGCGGCCCCCCTGGAGCCGGACTGGAGGCTGTGTTGGGTGGGGCGGTGTGACCTGGAGGTGGGCCGCCCCCAGGGAGACAGCTTCATCCCTGTGAGTGGACTTCATCCTTCCTTCCACTCACATGGACAGCACCTCTGTGTGTAGACAGGGCCGCCGAGAGAGGCCAAGGAGGATGAAGGGGAAGATCCCAGGTGCAGGGAGAGTCCCGGGGGGGCGGACGGCAGGGACAGAGGCCTGCGGCATTAGCCTGTGTTCTCCCAGCCCAGCGAGGGTCTCCCTTGGACTTGGGGTTCTGTAGGCTCCTGCCCCCCATCTCTCGCGTGGCCTGCAGGACCTCGACACAGAGCTGTGGCTAGTGTCTCGGGGCAGACATGGGGGTGGCCAGACCCCATGGAACCCCATTATCCAGTGTGGGGCCCTTGGAGATTCCCTGGGTACTTACTTCCAGTCGTCTCCTGCCCCCCACCCCTCCCCAGAGCAGGTTCTTCCGGAGCCCGGCTGTTGTCTGGACCCGTGTGCACCACCGGACGCCTCCCTCCCCGCACAGCGTCCTGGTTCATCTCGTCTGTCGCCCCCTCAGAACAGTGACCTCGACCTCGCCAGATCCTTCAGAAGCGCCCCTCCCTGCCCCACCACTGTTTTCCCAACAGCACCCGCCGTGGTCTGAAGACACTTTCTTCTGTTCCTGTTTATTGTTTATCTCCTCAAAACATAAGCACTCGAGTAAGACAGGAGCCTCGTTCAAAGTTCGGCCCGGGGCCGGGCACAAAGCAGGCTCTCAGAGGAGGGACCACAAGCCCCTCTGCACTTGGGGACCAGGCGTCCACAGGCTGCGGCAGCACGTGACAAAAGTCAGAAGACAGGACCCCACTGAGGAGTGAGGAGACAGCGGCCAGCCCTCGGCCGGACCCTTCTGCCTAATGCCTTTACTGGGCTGAGGAGGAATTTGGTGGTTCAGTCTGCCCGCCTGTGGACACCGTGAAAACAGAGAAAACAGACACACACAGATACACACATAGACACACACAGAAACACACACAGATACACACATAGATACAGAAACACACTGATACACACATAGACACACACAAACACACAGATACACACATAGATACAGAAACACACACTGATACACACAGACACACACAAACACAGATACACACATAGATACACCCAGATACACACACAGATATACACATGTAGACACATGATACACACATAGACACAGATATGTAGACACACAGATACGAAGATACAGAAACACACATGGACACACACATAGACATACACATAGATACAGATATATGCATGGACACACAATACACAGATGATACATGCATAGACATAGATACATGGACACACACGGACACACATACACGCGTAGACACACATGGACAGACACAGACACGTAGACACACATGGACATACAATACACAGATGGACACACAGATAATCACACAGACACAGATCTATAGACACACAAAGACATACACGCAGATATATGCAGATGCACACATAGACACAGATACACGTTAATGCGTGACAGACACAGACACCAATACGCACATAAACATACAAAGACAGGTACACACGGATATGCACACAAATACACATATATACACACAGACACAGATATACACACAGACACAGACACACACGCAGACACAGATATACACACAGATACACATGCAGACACAGATATACACATAGATACATGGACAGATACACATTCAGATACACACACAGATACACAGAGACACACAGACGCACAGACACGTAGACACACACAGACACAGATATACACACACACAGATATACACACAGACACAGATATACACACACACACAGACACACATATACACACACAGACACAGATACACACACACAGACACAGATATACACATAGACACACACAGATATACACACAGACACACACAGATATACACACACATAGACACAGATATACACACAGATACATGGACAGATACACATTCAGATACACACATACACACACATTCAGATGCACACTCACGTAGACACACACACAGACACACAGGTCCTGAGCCTCCCTGCGCCCTCCCTTGTGCGGAGGCAGAGGGGCTGGCTGTCCGGGCAGGCACCTGGGGAGGACACGTGGCCCCGTCAGAGACCAGGGCGTGGCTCTGAGGACACTTTGCTTCCACAGGGGCTGGAGCTCCGGTTGGGCCACGGTGAGTGCCAGGTGGTGACAGGAGTGACGCAGGAAAACAACACTGGGGCCGGGCAGGGGGGGCCGCCTCCCCTGGGTGTGAGGGGAGTGGTGTCTTGGACCGCCTGGTCTGGGAGGGCCTCCGGGCCTGGCTTTGCACAGAAGCTTGTACCTGAGGGCTCAGCCCCTTGGAGGCCTGTGGGGCTGGAGGTGCCAAGGCTGGGGCAGGGGCATGTTTGGCCCTCTGCGGGGAGAGAAGGCCTGTGAGGTGGGCATTGGGTGAGAGGCCAAGTAGCTTCTGTAAGTTCCGCAGGTGGGGCCAGGCTGTGGGTTGTGTCCCGAGTGAGGGGCCGTGGGGGGGCTGGGGACAGAGGGACGACCCTGGGGCTTGGGTCAGGAGAGGCTCACCTAGGGACCGGGTGGGGGGGTCTGAGGAGGGCTGAGGGTGGGGCAGGGAGAGCAGCTGTGTGGTGAGGACCGAGGGAGGTCCAGCCGGAGCCCTGTGACAGGCTGCTGTCATGTGGATGTTGGGAATCAGGAAAAAGCTTGTGGATTCTGAGGCCTCCGTGTGCAAAGCCCTGGGACAGATGGGGTCCCCAGGGATGAGGAGGATGGATGGGAGGGTCTCCCCAGGAATGAGGGGACAGACGGGCTCCCCAGGAATGAGAGAGACAGACGGGGTCCCCAGGAATGAGGGGACAGATGAGCTCCCCAGGAATGAGGGGGACAGACGGGCTCCCCAGGGATGAGGGGGACAGACGGGGTCCCCAGGGATGAGGGGGACAGGCAGGGTCCCCAGGGATGAGGGGGACAGGCAGGGTCCCCAGGGATGAGGGGACAGACGAGCTCCCCAGGAATAAGGGAGACAGACGGGCTCCCCAGGAATGAGGGGGACAGACAGGGTCCCCAGGGATGAGGGGGACAGGCGGGGTCCCCAGGGATGAGGGGACAGACGAGCTCCCCAGGGATGAGGGGGACAGACGAGCTCCCCAGGAATGAGGGGGACAGACAGGCTCCCCAGGAATGAGGGGGACAGACGGGTCCCCAGGAATAAGAGAGACAGACGGGCTCCCCAGGGATGAGGGGCCGGAAGACCGAGGGCTGAGGACCAGGCCCGCCCCTCCCACACCACCAGACTCCAGGAGGGCACCGGTGCTCGCAATTGAAAGTCTTGGTGCAGCTGGGGGCGTGGAGGATCCCGGGGGGAGGCTTCGTGCTGCAAGGTGGAAAAGCAATTCTCTCTGCAGCCTTCACAGGCCTTGAAGTTGGGACAGACCCTGTAACGCAAGACAGATAAGAGGAGAAAAACAAACAGAAGCTTAACAGCATGTGCACCTTGGTCTGCACGGGACGTACTCAGGGGACAGACTATGTCTCAGAGACATGCCTTGGAGCTCAGGCTTAAATACCACGTTCAACGGAAACAAAGAGAAAGGGTGTGGGGAGGGGCCCAAGAAATCACCCCAAACTGGGGTCAGGCCTTCTCCGTGGATGGGCATCTCTGGTGACTTCAGCCGGCCTTCCGGCTCAGGGAGGGAGGCACCTCCTGTACGAATGTGACTTTCTCACAGAAGAGCAGCTTCCACGCTTGCTTGCAGAGTTTCTCCTGTGGCTGCAGTTTCTCAAAATAAGCAGCTCAAAATAATGCTTATGCCAAAGAGGCATATTTTGGGGTGGCATATTCTGGTCCGCTCTACGTGGAAGCGAACGGAAAAATGGGGCAGAGGCTGGGGAGGGGAGTAGGACCGGCTTCCAGTTCCCAGACCCGAGGGAGGGAACCTGAGGCTGAGCTCTGGACTTTGGGGTCTGGAAGGGGTTCTCTGAGGACACACAGGAAGTGGGGGAAACAGCTGCCCCCTCAGGTTTCCCCCAAGGGATCCTGCCTGGGGAGACCTGGACTGGGCGAGGCTTGGCAGCTGCCCTGCGAGAAGGAGGGAGACAGGGCCTCAGTGGGAGTGCGGGGTTGCTGGGGTCCCACCTGGGGGTGCTGGGAGTGGCCAGAGGACACACGGCGATTTCCCAATGGGCCAGGAAGGCAGGCAGAGCATGACCCCGCACAGAGGCAGAGGCGGAGTCTCCGAGTGTCCCTGTCGGGTCCCTGGGGCTGTGGCAGGAGAAGAAGCCGCAGTACCTCCTGCCCTTTAACACAGGAGAGGCGGTCGTCCCGGCGTTGCCCAGCAGCTGGTCGGAGCCCAGGACTCCTCAGAGGAGCCAACGCCTGAGCCCTGAGCGGCCAGCTGGCCTGGCTGACCCGGGAGAAGGAGGCCGCTGTGCATAAGTAGCGAGGTGTGAGAGGAAGCGCAGAGCCGTGCCGCTCGGGTAAGAAGGGGAGAGAAGGAAGCCTGTCTGAATGGCTGCGCAGGGGATGTTGGAAGAGAACTGAAGGAACTCACGCAGCGCTCGTCTGTGAAGGGTGCACCACAATGTATGGACAAGGGTGGGAGAGAGACGCTGGGCCACAAAGTTTGGGGTGTGTGATGGCGTGGAGGAGAAAGCCTCCTGGGGGCTGTGGCCAGAGGGGTGGGTTTTATGTGCCTCCCACCTCCTGCCAGGGGCCCCCCACGACTCCCTGAGGCCCCATCAGCAACAGGATGGCAGGTTTTCCTTCCCACGTGGATGGGGGACCTCCCAGCCTCCTGGATGCCCTCCTGGGATGGGACGGGGGGAGCACCACCTGTGCCTCTACTCACGCCTGGCCTGGAGTGGCCCAGCGGAGGGTCCGGGTGGGGGCGCTGGAGGGGCCCTCACAGCTCAGGCCTGGCACCTGCACCTTTCTGGATCCCACGATGTTTTGCTAAGGATTACTCATCCAAGACCTACCCAGAGGCTCTGGAGCTGTTTACCACAGGCCAGCTCTGGCCGCAGGCTATTCTGGGAGCCTGGGGGGGGCTGGGGCACTGGGTGGCAGGAGGAGGAGGGCCGTCTCGTCCTTACTGAGCGTCCAGCGAGCGTCAGATGCTGCACTGCATGCAGTTCTAATCCTGGCCTGGCGAAGCCAGAGCAGGACAATATTCCTCCGTCCCCAGGCCTCCCGCGTGGCTGCAGGTGCTGACAGGGAATGGGCCTGGCTATCGAGGCTCACAGGGGAGCTGGGAGAGCCGCTAGCAGGAGAAATGAGAACTCGGCATCTGCTGGGCTGGGTTCGAGGGACACGGGGTGGCTGGGGAGGGTGGCCGGCCGGCGAGTCCGCCCCGACGCTGGACTCCTGGGCTATCCATTCGCCATCCACAGTCTGAGGGTCTCTGAAAAGATAACTCATTTGTTTTCATTAAACGCAACAGATCAAGAAGCTGAAAACGCAAGAATAAAACAGTGTAAATCTTGACTTTATTTTGTATCCCTCACGTACAGGATTCGCATTCTATTATACACGGAGTAGCCACAAAAACTGACCACGTTTTGCTCGTCATAAAAATATCAAGAAATTCCAAAAGGCAGATAATCTGAGGCTGTCACGGCGTCTACACACACACGCACCTGTGCACAGGCACACACGCACAGTCCACAGCGTGTTCGTAGACACAGTATGGTCTAACGAAACAAAAACTGACTTTAAAAATATTTCTACCTGGGCCGGGCGCGGTGGCTCACGCCTGTAATCCCAGGACTTTGGGAGGCCGAGGCGGGCGGATCACAAGGTCAGGAGTCTGAGACCAGCCTGACCAACATGGTGAAACCCCGTCTCTACTAAAATTCCAAAAAATTAGCCAGACGTGGTGACGCGCGCCTGTAATCCCAGCTACTCAGGAGGCTGAGGCAGGAGAATCACTTGAACCTGGGAGGCGGGGGTCGCAGCGAGCCGAGATCGCACCACTGCACTCCAGCCTGGGCCACAGTGTGAGACTCTGCCTCAAAGGGAAGGGAAGGGGAGGGGAGGGGAAAGGAAGGAAAGGGAAGGGGAGGGAAGGGGAGGGGAGGG